CTTTCTTTCTTGTCTTCACATAATCCCACATGAGTCCTACATATTTTTATATATGTCTAGGAGATAATTTTATCTTATATAACGTGAGAAACATCAAACCCATTTTATTAGTTATTTAGCTTTATCTTCCTCTCTTAGCACTCTCATTAAAATCAAACCACTTTGTTGATTATAGAGAACACGGGAAATAAGGGTGTGCTTTATTAGTATTGGGTTGTCTAGATTAGTCTCATCTACATTTTGATTTAGGATTGAGCGCAAGCTTTCGAAATTATTTTTCTTATCGAAAGGTTATGTGTTTGAGTTTGAAAATTAATTTTTTTTTTATATAAAATTAAAAATAAGACCGTATATAACCGATTCTCATTTCTTATTTTCACAAATTCGGAACCTTGTGAATTGGAATTTGCACTTTTTGCCTTTGATATTAACTAGGGTTGTCTTAAAGCATGGTTTTAAATATTTAAATTTTCATTATTTTTTGACAAATGTTTTAAGGTGGGGGTTACAAATTTTTAATATAAAATAAAGCACTCAACTCTTGAGTTGAAGAAGTAATGGGACCAGAATGTTCGGACTTTTGGATAGGATTTTAACTGAGAATGGATTGATGATAAGGGAAAGAAACGAGTGTGAAGGAAAGTACATAAATAGAGTTTTTATTTCATTTAAAAAAAAATTTAAACATCAAAACATGGATAATGGATTTGCGTAACTTTTTCCTTATCTTCCCTTTCCTTATCCCCATGTAGCTGTCATTTTCAAGCATTTCACCATGTCTCTTTGCGTTCAACTCTTTTTTTTTTGGTGTAACTGCGTCCAACTCCTTAAGCGAGGGTTCAAGTTCTGAAGTTTTGAATTAATGAAGATTTTTTTTTTTAATTTTTGTTCATATTAACCTAAAAAAAATTGTATGGCTGCAACCCACATATACCCGTATTATAGTTATACAGTTTTTAATTTTAAAATAAAAAAAATATTTATCTTTTTAAATGACATAACTTATGTTATTTCACTCTTAAAAAAAATAAGACCCACACATTTATTTTTTTTGTTCAGTGTCTCTCTCTTTATCTATTTCTTTCTTTTTTTTAAAAATAATATAACTTTACTTCTTTTAAAATATAACATACTTTTCCCTTTCAAAATTGCAAGGAAACTCTAAAATGAAAACTAAATTAGTAACAAGAGATTGGCTTTATCTACACAATATCATTCATGTACTTTATCTTTACATTTCTCGTTTTACGCCTTTCTTTATTGCGTAAAAAGAAAAGATACAAACACTGTATCTTTTTTTTTCTCTCTTTTTCTTTCTAAAGATGTAAAGAGAGATATAAAAATGTAGTATATAAATAATATTTTTTAAAAAAATAATATAAAGATCATCTTCCACTTTTCTCTCTCCTTTTCCTTAAAACATGTGCAAACTGACAAACGTGTATGAAGAGACAAATGTAAAAATGTCATGTATGAATAAAATAGAAATATAATATAATACCGGATATCATCTTCTTACAACAGTGTAAAAATTTTTTTTGAGTAAAATTTTTTTTGTATCCTAAATAAATATCAAGGATCTAATTTAATTACTTAAAAAAAATATGACAAATGATTTTTCTCAAATTCAAAATAAACATATGTTAGTACTTTTTGAGGAATTAACGTGGGTTTTTTTTTAAATTTCAGAAGGATCACAATTTCAACTAATTGAGTCTATTTTAATTTTAGAGAAGCCATAAATAAATTTTTTTTCTAAGAGATCAAAATGCACTCTATAATTTTTGTTGAAGATTCAAAATGTATTTTTTTTTTGGTAAACTGATCCAAAATGTACTTTACTCAAAAAAAATTTATACCGAAGTTTAACTGTTAATTTTAATATATATGATAGTTGTAATTTATTGGACTATATTAGTTAATTAATTACTAATCTTCAATAAATTATAACCGTTAGATACACAAAAATCAACGATTGAAATATATGATAGTTGTAATTTATTGGACTATATTAATTAATCAATTACTAATCCTCAATAAATTACAACCATTAGATATACAAAAATCAACGATTAAAATTTGATATAAGACTTATTATTCTTATATTGATATAAGTTGATCTTATCCTATATAATAATATAGAAATAATTTTTCATATTGTATGGGATAAAATTGTCTTATGTAACACACAAAAAGTAGATGATAATTTTTTGTTGAGAAACATATTCCTTATACTAATAACACACATTCATTTAAGGAAAAATAAGAGGAATTAGTTTTTTCTTTCTTTCTGTTTTACCTAAACAGAATGGTATTCATATTTTTATATCTCTTTGCACCGTCCTAAAGAGAGGGGGATGAATAAGGAAGTTATGAAACATGAATTTTTTTTGTAAATAAAGGTGTCAAATTAAGAAGAAATATGAAAATATATTGTCCGAGTAATAAGGAGAGGTAATGGCAATATGTGATATGAGTATGTACCAAAAATAAATAAATTATATACTTTCAAAGTATTATAATTAGTTTACTAAAATTATAATTCGTTGATGGTATAGTTATGCATGTCATGCCATCAAATTAACTTAGAATACTGTATAATAATACAAATTCATTCAATTGTAACTTAATAACTTTGGAATTCATGAAAATTCCTTTTTATTTTTATTTCTTTTGAAAAAATGAAAATTTCTTCTTTTATTTGGATAAATTACAAGTATCATTCACGAGAGCTAATTCTGTTCGAGTTGAGAATATTCATATCATGATAAAATTAACTCTCTCAATTTTTTTTATTTTTATCTTTTATATTTACAATAAATTTAACACAAAACCTTCCTTAAATGAAATTAAACATGTTCCAATTGAACTAATTTCCTTTGCTATGAAAATTTCTTAAAAAAAGAAAAGAATGATTTCTTGAAAGGAAGTAAGGGCAGTGATGGTCCCACACTGGAGCCAACAAACCCGTGCCCTACGTAGGTACGAGACAGTGTGATGCTTACCAAAACTGAATCCTCAATTATTTTCCTCACACTTCTCTTCGCTCCAACTCCATCCTTTTCACTATCTCTTATCAATCTTTTCCGTACAGAACTCCCTTCAACCCCCACCCACACAACATCATACTGTGAATAAGATATTAGTTCACTATTACAATTTGAAACATGTTATACTTGATCTAAGTGTTTATTAATATGGGCAAAAAAAAATTAATTTATTGCTTTTTTAATAAAAAATTACGAATAAGTAATCGTTTTAAAATTAATTACGAAAATATAACAGTCAAATCCGTCCCATAGGGGCGTGACCGGTTGGAGAGAGACACGCCCAATGTTGGGCGTGACCTAAACGTGACTCACGCCCACATGGGGCGTGACCAAGTTGGAGAGAGACACGTCCAATGTTGGGCGCGACCGAGGTGAGAGACACGCCCAATGTTGGGCATGACCGAGGAGAGAGACACGCCCAATGTTGGGCGTGTTTCACCAGGTGCTGCCACGTGTCACAAAAGTCAATAATTTGACCGTAAAACTTTGAAAATCCATAACTTTTGACTCGGGTATCTGAATTAGGTAATTTTTTTTTATTCCACATAACTTTTCGAGATCTACGTAATGACACATTATCTCTCACAAAAAATTTGAATTTACAACAATGATACCATAATTATTAAAAATGACATGACTTTGTTATCTTATAATTCTTATTAAAAATAATCTAACATTTTTATAATCATGAACAAAAACTTAAAAATAAAAATAAAACGAAAAGGTCTCACTTAACTTTTTAATATAAATTATTCGATATTCTGTCACCGACAGATGTTAACTTTTATTACTTATAAATTTCATAAAATTCTTCATTCAAAATTTTAATATATATCTCAATAACATACATAATTAACCTTATCATAACTTACCATAATCATAAGGATCTTTATTATGAATGTTTCTAATCATAACAGTGATTTTATGTCTATTAATTTTTGTTTAAACGTTCTTATGGTATCATTATTGTAAATTCAATTTTTTTTTGTGAGAGACAAAATATGCCAAATGAGGTGTCATTACGTAGATCTCGAAAAGTTATGTAGATTCAAAAAAAAATTTACCTAATTCGGATACCCGAGTCAAAAGTTATGGACTTCCAAAGTTTTGCGGTCAAACTGTTGGCTTTTGTGCCACGTGGCAGCACCTGGTGAAACACGCCCAACATTAGGCGTGTCTCTCTCCAACCGGTCACGCCCATATGGGGCGTGTTTAACTGCTATATTTTCGTAATTAATTTCAAAACGACTACTTATTCGTAATTTTTTATTAAAAAAAAGTAATAAATTAATTTTTTGCCAATATGACTAACATGAATATAATCTCATTTTTCTTAAACCATGATATTGATACACTAAATGAATTGACTACATAATCTAAATCATAAGAAAACATTTATAATAAAACTCACAGTTTCATTTATTAAATACAATTATAATTAAGACTAAGAGGCTTTTTAGTAATTATATTTTCTAAACTTTGATATTTTTTTAAAAACTGTGGCTTGGTTCATTTATTAAATACAATTATAATTAAGACTGTGGGGTTTCTCTTAAATTGAACACCTCCTATCTTGTTTGAACTCTGAACAGTGAAGAATTGCACTTGAGTGATTCACACCGCCCCCAAAACAGCGCGTGCTCTCTCTCACTCTCTACCACTTCCTCAACCACATTCAAATTTTCGCTACTACTTAGGTTGTTTTGTTCCACCTCCCTCGTTTCATTCATATACAACAACACAAGCAGCACGAGAAGCAACCACGTTTCTCCATCTTCAAACTCGAATCTCGCCACAAAACACTCTTCTCTCTGCTCTCCACTCTCTTCTTTCCTTGTCTCTTTCTTAACCATTTTCTCTGTCCTTTATACCTATACCTGTAACCGCACACACATTTGAAAGAGAGAGAGAGAGAGAAAGAAAGAAAGAAAGAAAGAGAAAGCTCTGTGCTTTTTCATAGAATCACCACCCCATTTGCTTCTAATCCTTCAAGCAAACCTACATTTTCCATTTCAAGAAGAGATTCCATCCGGGTCTCTCTCAAAAACCCCACCTTTGATGATGGATGCTGCTTCTGCTGCTGCAACTGCCTCATCCCCTGCCATATCCATCCAAAACCAAAAGTCACCATTTCAAGACCTTCCAGAAGCTTCCCCAAAGCCTCACAAGAAAAGCTTCGTGACCACTCTAATGGAAGCTGCCACTCTTCGCACCCCTTCCTTCAGAGAAGACAACTACTTTGTCTCCCTTCTCAAGTCTTCAGAGAAGAAAGCACTTCAGGAGCTAAAGGACAAGCTCCTTGCTTCTTTTGATGGTGCTGCTTCTGATGCTTCCATGTGGGGTGTTCCTCTCCTTGGTGAAGATGATAGAGCTGATGTTATACTCTTGAAGTTTCTGAGAGCCAGGGACTTCAGGGTTGGTGATGCTCTTAACATGCTTCTCAAGTGCTTGGCTTGGAGGAAAGAGTTTGGTGCTGAAAACGTAGTTGAGGAAGACTTGGGGTTCAAAGAGCTTGAAGGAGTGGTAGCTTATATGCAAGGGTATGACAAAGAGGGCCACCCCGTGTGCTACAATGCTTATGGGGTGTTTAGGGACAAGGACATGTATGAGAGGATTTTTGGGGATGAAGAGAAGCTGAAGAAGTTCCTCAGGTGGAGGGTTCAAGTTCTTGAAAGAGGAATTAAGCTTCTTCATTTTAAGCCTGGTGGTGTCAATTCTCTCATTCAGGTCACTGACCTCAAGGATATGCCTAAGAGAGAGCTTAGGGTGGCTTCTAACCAGATCCTCTCGTTGTTCCAAGACAACTATCCAGAAATGGTGGCTCGCAAGGTATTATTCTGTTTCTCTGATTTTGTTGTTTTGTTTGAAATAGGGATAGGGTGATTTGGTAAATTGAGTTGGTTGTTTTCTTGTTCTCAATGTCATATCATCTATGTGACAAAAAATTTCACTGTTTTCTTTTCTCGTTTGATTACTTTTGCTTTTGTGGGGGGTCAGATTTTCATCAATGTGCCCTGGTACTTCAGCATGTTGTATTCGATGTTCAGTCCATTTCTGACTCAAAGAACTAAGAGCAAGTTTGTGATCTCTAAGGAAGGAAATGCCGCAGAGACACTCTACAAGTGAGTTCATGGTTCCATCGTAGCAACCTATATTCTGTTCTAGAATCTTCCTAATTGTATTTTTTCTGTCATTTTATTTTAACCTTATGTATGCAATTCACAAAAATCCACTATTGTAGACTATTTTGGTTGGCCTTGTTCCTCTCATTTTTTATTTTTTTTATTTTCTATATTAACATTGCAAAGTGGCTCTGAGATCCCTTTTCTGCTTTCTACTGTTGTTTGGGATTTTATTTCCTTAGCCTTCATTTTGTAGTAGCAAATTTAATTCCTACTTTCCTTCTATTTCCATTTTGGGTTTGGTTTCTGAAAGAAGTTGTTTTCTATGCTCAGATTTGTGAGGCCTGAAGATATTCCTGTTCAGTATGGAGGACTGAATCGGCCTAGTGATTTGCAGAATGGTCCCCCAAAACCTGCTTCTGAGTTCACAGTCAAAGGAGGGGAGAGAGTGAACATACAAATAGAAGGAATTGAGGTGATGATTCACCCCATTTCATCTACTATTCCCTATGCAGATTATGATTACTCCTTTTGTCATGCAAATGGTTTCCTTTTCAGACAAATTATTTCTTTTTTGAATTTTTGTTTTTCAATTTAAAGCTTGAACCAAGGATTTAAGCTTTTTGTTTTTTATATCCATGGAAGATTAGTTGGTAATTTACTTCTTGTTGGGTGAATTAGGCTGGTGCAACAATTACATGGGACATTGTGGTTGGAGGGTGGGACTTGGAATACTGTGCTGAGTTTGTCCCAAATGCTGAAGGAAGCTACACCATAGCAGTTGAGAAGCCGAGGAAGATTGGAGCCTCAGAAGAAGCAATCCACAACTCATACACTTCAAAAGAATCTGGCAAAATGGTACTCTCTGTTGATAACACTGCTTCTAGAAGGAAAAAAGTTGCTGCTTATCGTTATGTTGTCCGCAAATGCAGCACCATTAAAGATGGCCATTAAGCCTCCACTAGTTTTTAGGAGCTTTTTAATGTTTTGCTCAAGATGTTTCTTTCTCCTGCTTTTTACTTTTTTGGAGGGTCTCATTTATGCTTCTGAACTTGTTTAAAGCCTTATATAGAGGTATTTATTAACTAGCAGTGTACTAATGTAATGTAAAAAAAAAAAAAGAGAAAAATGGTGGGTAGTATATTGCTTGGTATAGAAGAAAAGCAATTAAGTTTGCTTATATAGCATACCATACTACTCTTTGTCCTTTTGTTCGTTTGTGAGCATGTGACCTTTGCCATTGTCCTTTGGGACACGTGGGGTATTGAGATAGAGACAGAGAGATTGGCTATTTGGCATTGTGTATGTATGTTGCAATCTATGAGGAATCACTTTATGAAGGCGCAATCTACAATTTATGATTTGGAAGTTCTGTTTTTGTGTTGGGTTTGAATGGTTAAAGGAAAGTACTTGAGAATTGAGATGTGTTGCACAGAAATGAAAAGGGAAAATTGAAGGGTGATAGATATTGACTGGACCATGTAATGTAAGGTGGGTTTGCTTTTATTTATAGATTTGATAATGAATAAATGGACCAAGTTGGTGACGAGAGTTCCAAAAAAAAAGAAGCGGGAAGAGTTCACGGGTGGTAACTGGTAACGTGTTCAGGGAGTCAAAATTTGATGGTGGAGCCTCTTTCCCTACTTTCCTAATGTTTTTGAGTGAAGTCTGTTCTCGTTTGGTGAACCATTTAGCCATTTACCTTTTCTTTTTAAATTATGATTCTCTTCTCTGCTACCCTTTGCTTTTTTTGCCTCCTATCTAATGAAACTCATTTAGATTTCACAAAAAAAATATGGTAGGCTCTTCCTTTTAATATTGTATCTCAGTGCTGAAAGCCAAGGCTTAAAAAGTAGAAAGTAAATATCTATAATAAAGTTGGCTCCGATATTATGGAATGGACTGTGTAATTTTGCATATTGGGCTAGTAAACATTGTCTTCTCATGAATCTCATCATGGACTGCATTTATCGTTGTTTGCTGGGACAATTTTACACCTCTAATTCAAACCAGCATTGGTGTCATTGAAAATTGAATATTGGGGGAATAAATTGTCATATAAAAATTGGCCATTTATTGTATCTATTAATAATCATCTCATAATTCTCTAGAAACAAAGAAAGAATCACATATTTCACAAGAATAGAAGACTATTTTGCAAACCTACTGCAAATCAACAACACTACTAAACCCCTGGTTTCCAAACATGGAATAATGTTTATGGTATCTATTTAATAAATTGAGGGAAGAAAGAGAGCATAGTCCATGGAAAAAGAAGTGAAAATAGATATAAAAGTAGGTGCCCCATTGAACTCTTGGGTACCCAAGCCACAAAAAAAAAAAAAAAAAAAATGAGCCCATTTTTGGCAGATAAAATAAAAACGTAGACATGTAATCACACCAGAATTTAAAAGTCCAAGTACTTGGCCTTTTTGAATTTATATTACTAGTCCACCTTCAGAATAAGCATCATTATGAATAAATCTAGTGGTGAGACATGAATCTTATCATTGATGACAATCAAAATAGTGGGAAGGATTGGTCAATAACGTTTACAGTGTTTCCCTTCATTTTGTTTTCCCCCTTTACATGTTTTGGTAGCCCCAGGGTGTGATCTGAGAAGTGACAACCACTATTTCTTTTGAGATGTATGCTGATTTTGCCTACTATTTTATGTGTTTATGTCAGAACCATGATCTTCAACCCCTCATGTAGAAGGCCAATCTCCATTGAAACTATGTTTTGTGGGATTTGAGTAGTTCTGGCGGAGTTATTGAACTTCAACCCCCTTGAGATACGGGTATGATTGCTATCCACTCATAACCCCAAGCAAGCCATGAAAGTTGTGATTCAGAGTTGGCACTAGATAACCCTCCAGGAGCTTCCCATTCTTCCTTTGATTCTATGCTACCATACTATTTCCATCTATAATTTCAGTGTCTACTATGGGGGATAAGCCTCATCGTCGAGAGGGAAACAACCAGACCACTAGCTAAAAATGAAAGAGGAAATTCCTTTTTTTAACTTACAGAGGCTAAAAGATCATTTATTTTGGCCCCATATTATCCTCATTTATTTTGGCCCCATATTATCCTCTGCTCTATCAGCTGAGCTATCACGACCATTCTTGACGCATCATACTCATTTTATTATATTACTTTAATCTTTGTCAACTAAAAAAACATGAAGAAAAAGAAGACTTTGTAAGTTTCAATACAATAATAGTAATGATTATGGATTGTTAATCATATGAGGATTCCTTGACATTTCTGGATTAAGAGCAACACAGGTGCTTCCTGTGATGTTAATTGTCCCCACTTACATTGGATTGGTAGTGAGTGGAAACAGGTAGATCATTCAGAAAAAAGCATATGACTGCAATATCATCAACCTTGAAACGAGGATACTTAATTTTCCAAGCCCATGTAGCACGCTTTACTAATAATTTGGCTGCTATGGATCTATTTGGTGCTGAAGCAACTAATTTTATTACTTCATTGTTTGTTAGCACATCCCATACCTGTAAAAAAGAGAAGTTTGGACCTTTAACTATATACATGTAAAAGGTGGTTCATGCTTGAAGTCATTTTATGTAGAAGCTAAATACTATGAACTCATTGGCCCTAGTTATTTCCTTTCTTGCACTATTTGATCAAATATTTTCATACATATTTGGATTGAGAGATATAAGAATTGAGTGAAAGTCAAAAAAGGTCAAAAAAGACCCAACAATCAGTTATTACTAACTAATAATTCTTAATCTGTAACTGATTATTCAAGATCCAAAATTCAAAGTTGACAATACTTACCCCATCAGTAGCCAAAACCACAAATTCATCCTTCTTGGTAAGTTTTCTAGAAGAGACATCAGGAACTGAGGTGAGGCCATAATCTTTGAGGCAAAAATCTCCAAAGGCTCTTGACATAGCTAATCCTGGGCAATTATCTTCAGGCATCCATAATCTGTTTATACCTGGATCTTCTTCTGCAGCAAAAACTCTACCTCCACAATTAATTATTCTTGAAGCTTCACCTGCATGACATTGAAGAAGAAAAGCTAGTTAGAGGTAGACTTGATAGGCTTGTAAAAGATTGTGGAATTGAGATCAGTGCTAAGTAAGTCCTACTTGGAATATCTGGGGTGAAGTCAACAGTAAGTTGAACAGGAATGAGCTGGTCATCATCCCCTCTTGTGCAAAGAACTGCTCGAGAATCCCCCAAATTGCCAACTATAAGCTGGTCACCCTGAAATTTTAGAGGGAAAAAGGATGTGGTTATGATTGTTTCTTGCAAAAGCATATGACACATTGACACTGACAATAAGGTAATGCAATTGTGAATGTGAATGTCTAGTTATACCCGTTTAATTACTGTTACTGCAGTGCTTCCACCACTATAATTAGTGTCAATGTTTCTAGCAAGGTCTTCATCCATTTCCTTGAAGGACCTCACAAAGCTTCCCTCCCATGAAGCAAAGGACATGTTTTGGTTATCCTCACCATTAATGCCTGTGTATGTAGCATTAGAATCATAGTGTTTGAGGACCTTTTGTTGTTGTGACAGTTTGATTGCTGCAGAGAGTTTTGAGGGTAGATTGTCACGTGTATACTGTGCAAACTTGTGTCCTAGAGGACCATGACCATCAAACACACCACAAAAGGTCATGCCTTTTTCTCCAGTAAAGTCCTAAAAATGTATCATATCGAGCATTAATCAGAGCCATGTATTTCATCAATTAAGAAGCATCATACTTTAATAAAAACCATAGCATTATGCATTAATCCAAGTAATTACTTAAAAAGTTAAAAATAATTGTAAAGTGTACCAAATAAATAAATATAAAACCATTGTAATGAGAACATTATAATTATAATGAAGCAAAAACCTGTGAAAAAGGAGCCATTGAGAAGAGAAAACAGATTTTACGGCACAAGAATAGATTGAAAACTTGAAAACCAATCAAAGTTATAATTTTATCAAATAATTATAAAAAAACAGCAAAATTAACGAAAATGAAACCAAATATACAAACATATACATGAAGAATCCTACCTCCCAAACTGTCAACGCATCTTGATTAACTCCTTTTGTACCCTTTTGGCTGCACATTGATACAAGCTTGGAGGATCCTCTCCACACACCATGTTCGCATACAGGACCATTGTCATGGTTACTTTCACACTCCACATCATACACCTTGTCTACAAACGAAACATGGCAGCTGCAACAGGTTCCCATGTTTTACATACATGCACAACAACAATTTCCAAAATATAAAGAGGGCCCCACAAAATTCCAACGAATACCCAGTAAATTTCTGGAGAAAACAATCGAGAATGTGAAGGAAAAATTGGATTTTTTTCGCAAGGACTAAAGAGGGTCAGATTCATTCAGAGGCAGTGGAAGGTGGCGGGAAAATTGGCCAAAAATGCATGCAAGGAGTTGACGGAAAAGAACAGTGACAAGGAAAAGGTTGCGTCGTTGAGATAAAAAAGGATGATGACACCTTAAATTTGGATAAAACTTAAACGATGTTTATCTTTGCAAGTTTGTTTGTGTGCACAGCTGTAAACCTAATTTAGAGATTAAGTTGAGTTGGATGCGTCTTAATCTAGATTAAGATTTTCATAATCTGACTTATACTAATTTTGAAGGTAAAATTAGATTGAAATCTCACGTGACAAAAAAAGTTTCTATTTACTCTATATTTAGTAGGGAGACACTATACTTACAAAAAAAGTCTTTTTGACTTTAATATTTTTGTTATGGTTACGTCAAAATCCTTAGGATTATTTCAATTAGGCTTGTAGTGGGTGAATTAATTTTGAATATATTCAGTGTATATGCAGCCTAAGTTGGGTTGCAATCAAATGATATGAATCAACTTTGGAAAGACATGGAGGAGGTTTTGAGAGGGATACCACGAGAAGAGAAGTTTTTCTTGGGAGGCGATATGAATGATCATGTTGGTAAAAGCAGTAGGGGTGTTTGGTAGAGGATAAATTTTTTTTACTAGAGAAATACAATTACTAGAAATTTGGTGAGAAAATGAGTTTGATAGGAAAGTTCAAAAAAAGTTGTTTGGTTGACCGAAATTTTACCGAAAAAATTTGGTTAAATTTACCGAGTCTATGTTTGGTTGTAAGTAAAAAATTGATGGAAAAATATCTTCAATTTAAGAAATAACCCTTGATCACAAATATTGTTGCAATCGTTGCCTATCTCTTCTAGCAAGAACGTCAATATTGAAGAGGGGAACTGAACTCTGTACTTGACAAGGAGATCCACAACATTAAAGGCTGTTGCAAGCTCTGCCTGATGCTCATCTTCCAACCATCTCTCGAAAGCAAAAATCCCAGATTCTATTGTTGTCTCAGAACTAGACTGCATCAGTGATATAAGGGGTTCTAGGCATTCCGAGGCAACTGAATCTGCTCTGATCTTGCTATTACCAAAAAGTAGGGCATTGTTGTGCAGCATGGCTCTTCAGTTTCAATGATGATGAAGAAGGCAATATTTTATACAAACTTGAGAAGTGGGTATATTTGTCTAGTCCTTCATTCCGTATCCCTAATTTAACCGGTTTTCATGAAATACCACATGAGGAGTGGGTATCTTGCACACTATTTTTTGTCACTTTTTCCACATAATGCTAAAAGGCTAGGCAACTAAGTTTGGTAGGCAAATTTTGTATTCTCTCTTACCAAACATGGACAACACTTAATACCACTTTAAGAAAACTGGGCATCCCCTCAAAAAACCTGTACCAAACACCACCTAGAGGTTTTGATAGAATTCATGGAGGTTTTGGCTATGGAATGAGAAATGAGACTGAAGAAGATATCTTGAATATTGCACTAGCGTACGATTTGATGCTAGCGAACACATTTTTCCAGAAAAGGGAGTCGCATCTTATCACTTATCATAGTGGCCAAAATTGTAGTCAAATTGATTTCTTCATAGCTAGAAGAGAAGATAGAAATTCTTGTGTCGACTGCAAGGTCTACCCTAGAGAATGTGTCGGTACGCAACATAAGCAGGTAGTTCTAGAGGTTCGGTTCAACAAAGTACCTAAAATGAGGAAAAATGCTCAGAACCCAAGGATAAGATGGTGGAAGCTAAAGGAGGAAAAACAATTAGAGTTCAAAGAAAGAATGTTGCATGAAGGACCATGGGAGTTTGTTGGAGGATCTAATGAAATATGGAATGAGATGAATATGTGTATCCAAAATCTGGGAAAGAGGGTGCTAGGGGAAAGTAAAGGAATATGATTCCATTTAAAGGAAACATGGTGGTGGAATGAAGAGGTGCATGAGGCAATTAAATAGAAAAAGGAATGCTTTAGATCTTTGCATAAAAGTCTCATTGATAATAATTTGCAAAAGTTTAGATTGGCGAGAAAAAATGCAAAGAAAGCAGTGCGAGAAGCTAGAGTTAAGGTTTTCGCCTATTTGTATAAAATTCTTGGGAGCAAGAATGGTGAAAAATGTATATATATACTTGCAAAAATGAGGGATAAGAAAAGTAAAGATCTCACCCAAGTTAGATACATCAAGGACGAAAACCAAAAACTTTTGGTAAGAGATGAATATGTAAATGAAAGATGGATGAATTACTGTAACAAACTTTTTAACGGGGATGGAGATAAAAACGAAATGGGCTTGGAGGATGCTTATGATGATCTGAATAGAAGATTTGTGCGCAAAATCAATACATATGAATTCAAGGAGGCTTTAAAGAGGATGAATACTAATAAAGTTTTGGGATCCAATGACGTACCTATTGAAGTGTGGAGCGGCTTGGAGGAGGTGACAATAAATTGGCTGACCAATCTTTTCAATAAGATTCTTCACACAAATAAGATGCCTAATGCTTGGAGGAAAAACGTACTTGTGCCTATTTACAAAAATAAGGGAGATATCCAGAATTGTTCTAACTATAGAGGCATTAAGCTTATGAGCCATACTATGAAATTATAGGAGAGAGTTATTGAACATCGTTTGAGGAGAGAGAACAAGGTTTCTGTAAATCAATTTAGATTTATGCCAAGAAGATGTACCACATAAGCTATTTTCTTGATGCGTCTATTGATGTAAAGATATCGAGAAATAAAGAAGGATTTAGATATGGTGTTCATAGATCTTGAGAAAGCATACGATAGGGTCCCAAAAAAAGTTCTATGGTGGATTTTTGAGAAGAAAAAAGCGCCATCAAAGTATGTAAAAGCAATCAAGGATATGTATGATGGGACTACTACATGTGTTAAAGCTTGTAATGGAACATCAAGTTATTTTCCTATTACATTAGGTGTACACCAAGGTTCAGCTATGAGTCTGTATCTCTTTCCCTTAGTGATGGATGAACTAACAAAAGAAATTCAAGAGGAAGTACTGTGGTGTATGCTTTTTGCAGATGATATTGTGCTTATTGATGAGACCAAAGACGTTGTTAATAGGAAACTTGAATTGTGGAGAAGCACTTTGGAGTCTAAAGGTTTCATGTTAAGCCGGAGCAAGACTGAGTATACGAAGTGTGAGTTTTCTCTGGTAAGAGATGGAGATCAAGACCCCGCGCATGTACTTAGTCAAGAGGTACCCAAGAAATATGCTTTTAGATACCTGTGATCAATTTTGCAAAAACGTGGTGAGATTGATGAGAATGTAAATCATAGAATCAGAGCAGGATGGATGAAATGGAGAAGTGCATCTGGGTTTTTGTGTGACAACAAAATTTCACTTAAGCTAAAAGAAAAATTCTATAGGACAGCAATAAGGCTTGCAATGTTATATGGAGCTTAATGTTGGCTAACACATAGGCAACACGAGCATAAAATGGGAGTAGCAGAAATGAGGATGTTAAGGTGGATGTGTGGTTATACGAGGATGGATAACATAAGAAATGAAGATATTCGACGAAAGGTAGAAGTAGTACCGGTAGCGAAAAAGATGAGGGAACATAGATTGAGATGGTTTGGGCACGTGATGAGACGGCCCCTGGATGCTCCTATAAGAACAAAAGTTTGTTACCAAGAGCTCGACACAAAGAGAGGTAGAGGTAGACCGAAACTTACCTGGGGAAATATAGTTAAATAAGATTTAATGGAGTGGAAAATAGATTGGCGGACGATGTGTCTTAGAACGGAATTGAGAAAAATTGTAAGCAGGGTGGAAGGTTAAACCCCTTGTTATTCCTATGTTCCAGATGGTCCATTTTTCGTCCTTTTCCTCTTCAATCCCCCTCTCTTTCTTTTCCCTTTTTTGTCTTTTATCTTATTTCTCCCTTGCCTAATTTTTTATTTATTTTTGTATTTATTTATTTTATTTTAGTTTAGTTTATTTTTATTTGTATTTTTATCTTATTTTATTATTTATTTATTTTTAATCTCCTCTTATTTATCTTTGGGTTCATCTACCATCAACCCCAATTAGCTTGGGTTAAAGATGTTGTTGATATTGATGTGGTTACGTCAAAATCCAATGAACGGCCTTCAATTTGGTATAATTTTATAAACGTTGATTTGATTTTTATCGAACGATAATAAAAATAATTATAAGAAAAATGTTATAATATATATATATATATGGCTTATCGTTTCTCAAGCTGCTTGAGATAATTTTATCTCCGGCTATTAAATCATAACCATACAAAGATGAATCATTAGTGATAAAGGAAGAGAGAAAAAGAAAATCATAATCATTCAAAGGTGTCAATTAATATAAGGAAATAAATAAACAGAACGATGTAGTTTCGGGGTGGCCGGAGATAAACTTATCTCAAGTTGCCGGAGAAATATTATATATATATATATATATAGCAAAATAATTTGTCATGCGACTTGACCTAAGGATTTATAAAGTTACACTATATACTACTCGTAGTACATATAGTAAATAATGTAACTTAATCAATCCTTAGATCAAGTCACATGATATCCGCTTAACAAAAAGCAAAAAGCGAAAAATGTTTTCTTGCATATTATACGAGTAACGGTATGCAAGCATTTTTATTCTCAAGGAGGCTGGGCTTATAGTTACAATATCAGCATAAGTTTTACTAATTTTCTCAAATTGAGTAAAATCCTCAAATTAGTGTCAATCCAAACTTAGTAAATGGATTTTTTTATAAAATAAAATAAAATAAATAGCAGAGTATGGTACAGAAAAGAACGTGATGGATGTCACCTTCCCAAATAATTTATATGTTAAGCAATTTCAACAAAGAAAGCTCTTAAAGCTCTTCCATTTTCATTCATTCACCAATTCCAAAAGTTGTGAATAACTTTCATAATTACATTTTAAGTTGTCACAATATAATAAAAGTGGTGATCTGGACTCATTCCACGTAGGATTACAGGCCCAACCAGTGAAAAGCTTAAGAGGCCAAAAAACTATTGCTTAATAAGAAAAAAATGTAGTCATCCCGCTTAGCTTGGCCATCCTGCAACTATTTGCACACGAAACCAGCTACTCAGTCAATTACAACCACATATCATAAGCTGCTCAGAGCAACGCCACCCTTATGTGAACCAATAGCTTAAGGACAGGTATCTCTTGATGCCACATCTACAAAAACTTAGTCTAACTATAGGCATATAGCCCAAGGAGTAGCATGTGAAAAATTTCACTATCCATTAATAGAAATGAACACGTCATATGAAAGATGGTATAATTAGGATTCTCATATATTATTAATACAGAGGGATTAAGTTCATGTATAATCACTTTCCCATCAATACTTGAACTCTTGAACACTTACTGACTTGAGCGTCAGAATGCCTTGTAGATACCTCCTCTCAGTCTCTCCAAGTTACATCAAAGTCCCGGCTCAAATAACTCCCGTAGGATCTCACCAATTTACCCATAATAAGTTGAACCGTGTGTAATTCAGTCCAATAATTATTGAATTAATCAATTGGAGAAGGTTCTTACGAACACAGAGTAAAAATACCAAATGCATTGATTAACCAAAAACTAAGAGTAAAACACAAAAACCGCTTAAGTTACATGTGGTGTTAACTACTTATAGTCAGTTGCAGAAAGAAAGAGAATGAGCCCTACGTGTCCCTATTCTAACTAACTAATACACATGACGTGTCCCTATTCTAACTGACTGTTAGTTTACTTAAAAGAGAGAAGAATGTATCTCATCACCCCCCCGCAAGTTGGGAGTGTATATCTAATAAACCCAACTTGAACACAAAATTCTGAAGAGGACCAGGATGAAGTCCTTTAGTGAACATATCTGCTAGCTGCTGAGCAGAAGGAATAGGAAGCAAATGTATCAAACCCTTCATGATCTTTTCGCGGGTAATGTGATAGTCAAGCTCAACATGCTTGCTGCGTTCATGGAAGGATGGGTTGTGAGCTAAATGTACTGCTTCCTGGTTGTCACAATAAACCATGGCTGGACCTGGGAGTGCCACTTGAAGATCATGTAACAGAAAAGTGAGCCATTGAATCTCATAAGATAAAGCTGCCAAC